TAGGGGTTTTGGTTTTTCTGTCTGCCGTTTTGTCTGGCAATGATAGTCGTGTCGGGGATTTCGTAGATAGTATCTCGTACCGAGCAGGGGGGCTGTTTGGGGTGCTCGGCAGAGTATACTGTCTACGGGGCCTCCGGGGGGTACGCGGATGGAATGTATTGACAGACATGCTGCATGGCGATGGTGTGGCCTACCGCATGTCTCTTACTCTCTAAGCAACAAGGTCTTGAGTCAACCTTCTTTCTCTTTCGGCCTCTGACGAGCTACCGCACCCAAACATGCCTCAACAATATCTCCCTTTTGCCGTGACTGCCAACGGTACGCCACGGGGCGTCGGTACTATATTCGAGATGATACAACATTGACCCGAAATGATCCCCTTGCTCCTTACGATGGACGCTACAGATTGTTACGATGATAGTGCAGCGATGGTCCGAAAAATGACAACTCCAAGAGTCCGAGGCCGTAGTTCGGCGTGTTCGTGAGCATCTATTCAAAACCTGTTCCTGAACGTGGATGCGTACACATCCTTTCGTGGGCCTACTGATTTGCACTTTTGTGATGAGTCTGTCCAATTGGAAATCCACAAGTCACGAAGGTGTTACGTGGTTGACACAGTTGCGACGAAGTCGCTGTCATTAACGTCTGACACCGCTTGGTTTGCCATTGAGGTGACTTCCTGGGTGCGGCTTCATCACCACCTCTTCCTAGAAGTGCACTAGCGCTTGAGGAATCGCCATTTCTTTTGTAAACGCCGCTGATTTTTTTTATGTTTCCCTTATCGGGAAAATGACGATTAGTCCACACGAAGAACGGCCGGGGAAAATTCGACGCCCGTGCCCCGACTTCCTCCTGGAGTGGTAAACACCCTGGCAAGAGCTCCAACTGTATCTCCTTGACCTCCGCTAAGGTTTTATCTTTTTTTAACGGCTCTGGTGGTGTAAGAGGGGAACCTGCCCCTAGCATGAGAGCAACCTGTTTATTCAAGCGAGCGAGTCTGCGGGATTGATATTGGACGAGTGAAGCGTGGAGCTAGTCATAGCCTCTCACGAAAAAACACATCCGTCTCAGTTCTGTCCCTTCAGCGGTCGGGTTTGATGACCGTCCAACATTCGGATGGTCAAGGCGCGTCTCCGTAAACTACGTACAAAGTGTGGTGTCCTGTAAGCATGTCCGCTTCTAATCCAACAGGAGCAGTAAGGGTTCCTTCAATGTTCGTTTTTCTTGCCCCATCATCATCTATCTACAACTTTCTTCGAATCCCAATGTCGAGTAGGTGCCCGTTGAAAACCTGGGGAAAGACTCAAAAAGGCCTCCCGACTTCCGAGGAGCTGTTAGACTTTTAGTTTCGGATATTGAACAATCCTGTACTTATTGTGGAAGGAATGAGACTGACGTTCTACGAGGGTGAACGTTGAACAAGATGGTTGCAATTTTATCCATGGTGTCGGTAGTTACTTTTAGTCGGTGTTGTTTCCAGATTCTTTGTTGTGTGATACGTACAGAATTGGTACCGAAGCAAGTGGGCGTGCCTCACAGGTACCTCGTGGACTGTAGAGAGAGGGAGTTAGGGCCCGCACATAAGAACCTCTTGTTTTGGCCGAGCCTCGTTTCCTATTATGTCTTATAGGGGAATGTATCCCCACGGCGATGATATAGGTTTTAGTGTAGGCTTCTTGTCGGAGCACTAGTTCTTACGGTCTGGTTCTATTATATTGACATTCCATAGGCTCAAGTTCTTAACGGGCCGGTTCTGTATGCAGTGTTCCTTTCCTGCCGTGTATTCGATTCGTGTTGTACTCAGTGGGCAAGATAATGTGTTCAGCTGGTCCGGCTTTAATGGCGACGCTAGGCGGAGTACTACGGTACACCACATCTGGTGTCTGAATACTCGCTGAACTCCTGAAATTCGATATGAAACCCTAGGGGGCCCAACCTCCGTGGGTATGAAGATAGGACGTTTTACCTTCTCCATTTCTTGAAGTTCTGTTCACACTCTTTTCTTGCTTGTCCGCCTTCAAACAGGAAGCAAACGACACCTCGCATAATGATGGTGCCAATGTGTGATCTTGCGATGTATTTTCGGAAGATAGATTTCAATTTGAGTCAACAATGGGTACAGGCCGTTGTACCTGTTATTGCCGCCGGGCAAATACACAGGTTGAATTCATGGGGCGTCCTTGCCATTGAATATCACAAGACCTTGTCATGGACGACGATGCACGGTCGTTCATGAGCGTTGGTCTGTCCATGGAGCGTACGGGACAACGGTTGGCCCATGGGACAATGTATCGGCGGCACATGGCGACCAACAGGCGCCTCACGGGTGGCCAATGGGGCTCATAGTCCAAGTAGGCGTTGAGTTCTTGTTTACGAAGACAGATATGTACATGCACTATCCGTTTACGCCCTTATCGATATATAGCTTCTAAAACCATCCAAGCTTCATTCTTCACTATCTTGACCATGTTAGTCAGTTGGCCGCTGGCGGTGTCCACTTGGTGGAAAACAGTTGTTTTTTGTTCATGATCAAAGCGAACCCAGCGCACAGGGACAGTAAAGACAACACGTCTCCAACTTCATGGCACACTACTTCTGTTGTATTGTTGCTCTCGGCCTACGGCCATTCGTTGTAAGTGTTGGATGACTGGATGAGGCCTCCAGCTCTGGCCAGTGTGGTCCCAGCCATACTTTTCTTGTCAGGCATTGTCCTCGGCCACTGACATGGAGCATGGTTGAGTCTCCTGAACTTTCGTAAATTGAGCAATAGGATCAAAGCGGCCGACGGTGGGCACACTCTGCGAAGGCGGCCTCGAATGCCGGAGACAACCACTCCTCATTGGTGGCAGTAAGTTGCCCCCCCGCTGCCGAATAGAAGATGGTCCAACGTAGTTCTTCGCCATCGACTTCGTTTTCCAACCCTCAATCTGCATGATCTCCTCTATCGCGGGGCCGCCCATGGATCCGTTCAACGACCCCCCCAACCTGAAAGACTAAATGGAAACGTGGGTACGCGTGTCGGCCGCCCGCACGTGCGCCTGAAGGGCCACCGTCATCTGGGGCGCCGCGAGCTTCGAGGGTCCACGGCTACCATCATCTAGCACCGCAGGGAACAGGTAGCTTGAGGACAAGTCCCATCCTACATCTCGGCTGGCGTGGATGTATTCTGCTACGGCTCGGACCGCACAAGTGTCCTGGTTCAGGCTAGCAAGCACCACCGTGGCTTCGGTCAAAGACTAGCACAGTTTCCCAAACAGGAAATTGAAGGTGAAACCTTTCGACGCCGACAACCGGGAGTACCGGGGACCCCAATGTGAAGGAGAGGTCAAACCACCGAGTGGATCTGTTCATCATGTTTGGTTTGTTCTCGACAGCGTTCTGTTGCTTCCAAAGATAAGGAAGCAGAGGGGATACGAGCGAAACGCCAGAGCTGCTTTCAAGTGAGAGGACGCCAGCAACAAGAACACTGACAACAACAACAACAACAACAACAACAACAACAACAACAACAACAACAACAACAACAACAACAACAACAACAACAACAACAACAACAGCAACAGCAACAACAACAACACACTCCATCCATGTCCACAGCTTTAGCTCATGCAACGACTTCCAAATTTGTATCCGCCGGCGTCACTTCAAGAGAGCGCCAAAGCTGTTTTTCGCGCAACTACATTCTTCTCGCCGTGGACCGCAACCATCTTCTACGTACGCAACCCACCGATCAACCGGTTGTTCTGCAATAGGCCTTTTTAAGGTCTAAATTGTGGTTGAATATCGGAGATGGACGCTCGGTCGACATGGCGGCAAGCGCGTCGCTCCAGGTATAGCCTCTTGACCCATTGAAACAACAGCAGATCGAAAACGTTTGCGTTGAGGACATCCGTCCACTCCTCCCGAGGTAAAGCTCCAATCACGTGAATCGATTTCTTGTCGAGTCGCACAGCTTCGTGCTCGTTCGGCAACCACTGTGCGAGCAAGGAGAAGAGTAGCAGATGGGAATGGCCCGCTGAGAAACTTTCCGGAAATCGATTGCGAGATTTTTCAAACATCGTGCTCTTTCTGCGTAATACTGCCTTGGCATCCATGGACAACGTTACTACCCTGAAGTGCATAGCTCCAACCCTGGCGTGCGAACGCTTGGGCAACAAAACCCCTAACCTTTCTCCGTGGTAAGCTCCAGCCAAACGCCTCCTCCAATGCCCACATCTCGTCTTCGACAAATTCCAGCACAAGAACAAGGTTGAATCGTCGAAGAACATTCATAGCAGATTTCAGGTCCTCCCAGGCGATCTGCATGCAACCGTTGACAGGCGGGGACAAGAGGCGGGCACCGCGGATCGTGGCAGAGAGTTGCCTAGTGCGATGGCGACACCAATTCAAGCGTGACGGGCGGCCATTCCAACACAATGTTGCGGCAAATAGAATTCGCCGGCATGAATAGCTCCCTTAACGCCCCCATCAATAGGAAGAATGCATCTCGGCGTTGGCCAATTTTCAAAGAAGCCATCTCACCATCCCCACCATGGGCGATTTCATGTTACGGCGGAAAGATATCCACTTACGTGTGTGATGTGGAAACGTAACCCCTTACGTGCTCGGATAGCAGCAAATGTGAACGTGCACACAGGACCTGTACCCGCATACCTGGTCTCCCCAGGTGTTAAACTTGTGGTAGCTCCACCGCAAATCCCGGGCGTAATTGGGCCGCCCGTCTCCATCCACGCCCTGAGATCGATGAGGTGCAAATATGCAAACAAGAAACACTCGAGGCGTCATACGAGGAGTGGGGCAAACAGAGAAGCAGGAAGCGAAACAGAAGCGATGAACACATGTTGAGGAAGACCACTCATGTGATATAGCTGCAGGGCAAGAACGCCACTCTCCCTTGGTAAGCAGCAACCTTGTTCACGTGCTCTTCGTACAAGATGACCGCCGGATAAAGTATCCTCACATTGTCAAATTCCATTCAGCAATTTTTGCACACCATGTGTGGCATCGTAGTGGTGGGAATACGCGTTCACGGTATAAACGACCGACGCTGTGTTCATCCTATCGTCGGCTATCGTCAAGTCGACACACCTCTGATAAAGTATCGTCTTGTTGGGAAGACCGACCGCAGAAGGTTTTGATGTAGGCGTTGTCGCCCATCTCATCCTGTCTTATCTTCTTGTACCACCTGTAGTCAATCCATGCCACTTCAAGAGGCAGCTCAAACGTTTTCTCGCTTTGTGTACGTCGACCACCGAGTGTCGTACACAACACAGTAGTGTTCAGCATAAAACACAGTCTACTTCAGATGGATTTTACCATTAGATACGTAGTGCATGTTTAACTCTACTGCCCAGGGGCGAATTCCCACTGGACTGCTACTGTGCGGCAAATGTGTCAATCACGGCACTCACAAGTCGAATGGCAAGAGCTCGCTGCCTGGCTTAGTCCCGTCGCGGTGCTCCAAGTGCTCGAACCGATACTGACTGTACCACCGATCCACCGGATGTCTGAACGAGGAACAGATCGTGGCGCAAGCACGTGAAATCGTGTACGCGCGCGTGTGTGTGAGCCCATCACCTGGTTCGGGTTGCTTCCAATGCTCCTGTGCTAGGCGTTGTTTTCCCACTGACGAGGCACGTCCCGAATTGTTGTCCGGAATTCCATGTCCTGTCTGCTATCTTGTTTGTAACTACCACAACACTAACTGTAGACCTCACATGTGCGCTTCTTGCTCAGAATCTTTCCGACAGACTCTGGACGAAAGATAGAAACGTGAAAAGGCGAGGGGTGTTCTTTTCTCGTGCGAGTAGCAGCAAGCCGTTGTTTTTTCTCACCCCCCCCAAGTTTTGTTTCTCTTTCGGGTAATTACTGCTACTTTGTTTTCTCCCAACTAGAAGAGTACAGAGACGTTGTATGAACTATCTTAGGCAGATTCAACACGTGTTTTCTGTTGTAAAATGTGGCATGCATATCATGTCCAAAATAACCAGCTCATCAGCCAAATATCTTGGGCCTTATCAAGCACAGCATGGCAGCTGGCGACTTGCACTGAAAAAGGACGATTTCAAAAGTTGACTCGACTGTATGTGTCATGCCATACCTTAATGTTGTAGCAAAGATGGCCCCCTGTAGAGTGAGGTGCTCTATCGGGAAGATGTCCCACTCGTTGGACGTGAGACGATAACCCTGGATCGTAGCAATTGCCGCAAATACAATCAAACGCGCACGAGACCATGGCAAAGTGCGCATTAACGGGGCAATGATTGAATAATTGCATGTCAGGTTGGTTTTCCGTGGAAGTGCGTAGCCCGAGGGCCACGACATCTCTTGTACAAGGGACAGCGTCACGAAACATCATCCGTGAGGATGGGCTACAGTGTGAAAGCCTGAATAAAACCTGGTACGGTAACAATCCTCGCAAACACAAGCAATCTACCTCCTGGACCGACAGTGATACTCCGTAGTTGGTGTGCGCATTCTCTTCATGGGGCAGTCGTAAGCAAATATGCCTCCCGTTCTTTGTGACTCACATGCTTTTGCATGCTTTCCAAGAAGAAGTCGTTGTCTGACCATGGAGGGGTCGCGGTGGAACCCCTGCCATCCGCCATACAGAAGTACCACGGTATTTCCGTTGCCGGCATATTCCTGCAGCATTTACCAAAAAGGGCATAGCTCGCTACGCGATCAACGGATTGTCGTCAATCATGCCGTAACGTGCGTGCTTGCTGGGATACTCAATGCAAGACAGAAGAACAAACATCGCAGGAAAGTGACGATATTTCCGACGACACAGTCTTATGTACTGTGGCAAAGGTGTCCCAAGAAGCCAACAGGCTCAATGAAGAAAGAACATGTCGATCGGGGTTTAGGGGTGCTTGAGCGGCCGAAATGGAATTGGAGACTCGCACAAGACGAAAGACTGTGTAGCAAGAGGCCGCGGCCTGAATGTTGAAAAAAATTCCGGATAAATATCAGCACATACAAACAAGTGCGTAGTCTACTATCCTGGGGGGAACCTACTACATCCATCTGTTGTGGAAACATTGGCTCACACGTCCTGTACTAGCCAGTGTTCAGTAGCATTACTTGTTATGTATCGTACACCATGAATCGTAGATAACGTATGTTTCCGTTCATGCGTAACGCATCTGTATGGGCTGATCTGTATGCGAAGGAATTACTACTGCTGTAGCATTCTTCTGCTCAAGGGATCGCGTATCTTTCACTCTCGCATGGACTTCTCTGGATAGTTTTGGCGTTTGGCTTTCCTGGACATCTCTAGGAACTGCTAACTTCTGGACATCTGCGTTCGCTGTGGATCTATCTGTGTGTTTTGCCAGTGTTCAATGTGTCTACCCGTCTTCACACAGCACAAGACGTACGCCTACTCCTGGTCTTCAACCACCTGCGGTGTCAACCATCTCGACTAGCGTGGAGAGGCCCAGCCTTACGGGTCTCCCACACTTTTTACAGTTTCCCAAACGACCCATGGGACTCCCATGGGTGACTCATGGGTGACCCATGGGCACTTTGTTGCCTACGGGCCACCCATGGTCACCCATGGGTCACCCATGGGCATGCCCATGACAATGGGCTGCCCATTAGCGTGCCCATAGCCCGGTTCATGAAGTACCCATGGGCGGCCCATGGGTGACCCATGGGTGGCCCATGGGAGTTTTATCAAAACTGTCCGTAGTGTGGGAGATGGCAGCCTCACCCACGTGTCAAGGGTATCTCAGACAACATCCACAACAGGATTTAGTGTGGGAGGTTGCAGCCATACCCACGTGTTAAGGGTATCTCAGACAATATCCACAACAGGTTTTGAAGCCTCGACTGTGAGTAAGTGGAGGCCTGCAGCGACTGCGGCTCCTGCTGCTGTCGTCGAGTGCTGTGGCGTGCACACACATCGTCTTCTACCATTCCACGAGGAGTTCCTTCCGACGAAAGTAGCCGTATTCTCCCTGAGAAGGATTTTATGATGAAACGTTGGTCGGCGAAACAGTGTAGTTGAAACGCGCCAAAAAAAACCGTCAGGTAGACGATTGTCCTGCCTTTCCGTGGAAGGTGTCTCGTCCTTGCATGTGGCCACAGATTCCCCCATAGCGCTGAAGGAGAACCCGAAAGTAGATGATTCGGATCCCTGGCGTTGTGCTAGGTGAGCGCTCCCGACGTTTTGGGAAGGCTGTAGCATCTCGTCCTTGGATGTGGCCACAGATTCCCCCATAGCGCTGAAGGAGAACCCGAAAGTGGATGATTCGGATCCCTGGCGTTGTGCTAGGTGGGCGCTCCCGACATTGTTGGAAGGCTGTAGCAGCGCTAGGTTAGCAGTCAGTTCTCCGTTAGTGCTACGGGGGAGTCCCTGGAGCTGAACTGGCTGCTAACCTAGCGCTGCTACAGCCTTCCAACAATGTCGGGAGCGCCCACCTAGCACAACGCCAGGGATCCGAATCATCCACTTTCGGGTTCTCCTTCAGCGCTATGGGGGAATCTGTGGCCACATCCAAGGACGAGATGCTACAGCCTTCCCAAAACGTCGGGAGCGCTCACCTAGCACAACGCCAGGGATCCGAATCATCTACTTTCGGGTTCTCCTTCAGCGCTATGGGGGAATCTGTGGCCACATGCAAGGACGAGACACCTTCCACGGAAAGGCAGGGCAATCGTCTACCTGACTGGTTTCTTGGCGCGTTTCAACTACACTGTTTCGCCGATCAACGTTTCATCGTAAAGCTCTTATCAAGGAGATTACGGCTACTTTCATCGGAAACGAGAATCATCTTCGACGCCATCATCGAGAAAAATGTCAACATCTTAAACACCTTCAAGAATTAACATCGTCGTCATTAATGTGTTTGTGTTTCGAGCCTGTTGTTTGTGTGAACCAGTTTACTATTTCAGTCATTCACTTGTCGACTTCGCATCATCGCTGGTTGAATAGCCACCTAGGCTAGGGTTGGACTTACAATACTTTGGTTTGTGCAGGAAAACAAGAACGCAACTCTGCAAGCGCATAGATATACATGAAATGATGCCAAGCACATTCGCTATATACCTTAGTGGTTGAAGCATCAAATGGATTTGTTTCTTTTACTTTTGTTTCACGCAGACTAGATTCAATGCAACTTTCATTGAGGGGGAGTGTTACAGAAAGATTGGCTCACGTCCTATTCTAGTCAATGTTCAGTAGCATTGCTGTCTGTCGTAGATCATGAATCGTAGATATCGTATGTTTCGATTCAAACGTACCGCATCTGTATGCGGAGGACTGCTGTGGCATTCTTCTGCTCGAGGGATCGCGTATCTTTCATTCTCGCATGGACGTCTCTGGATAGCCTAAGCTTTTACTTTCGTGGTCGTACATAGGAACTGCCGTCATCTGAACTTCTGCATTCTCTGTGGATCTATCTGCGTGTCTTGCCAGTTTCCAGTATATCTTCAAGTCTCTACACAGCACAAGAAGTACGCCTACTGCTGGTCTTCCACCACTTGCGGTGCCAACATCTCGACTAGCATCGAGAGGCACAGCCTTACCTACGTGTCAAGGGTATCTCAAAAAATATCCAGAACACCATCCAAATTTCTCTAGTATTCTCTACAGCAGTACATAGTGCTGCGTCAGAACCTACGTAATACTGATGACGAATGGCGTTAGGTAATCAGAATGGTGTGATCCCCTGTGCAACGCTATCGACAGCTGGGTACCAGAAACACCACACCAATCCATGGATGACCAGGACAAGCATGAGCAGCTCCTTTCATTCGGTCCTGCTAAGCCAGGGTAAAAAGCTGAGTGTACAGCTCATGAGAAGCAAGGCGACACCAGAGAAAAACAGTCCGTTCTGACCGTCGACATCCGAAACCGAATCCCCACCTCACCATCATCAACACCTCTCCGTAGACCTTCAACTTGCCTGGAAGCCATGTCGCAGAACGCCGTTCCCCCCGCTTTCCTCAAGTGCTGATAGTAGATAAACCCCCGCCCCGCTTTGAATGCTTCCTCGTCGTCGTGATCTCGAATGTCGGGTGACGAAAATCGATCCGCCTCTCTGTCTGGGCACTCGAACTTGTCAGGAGAGTCCACAGCTACCTGCAGCGGGGATAATATCACAGATACGTTCGTGTTGTCGCATGGAAAGTAAGATTCAGTTCGTAGCTCTTCTGCTTCATCTGCAAGTTGTGTGTCGCCTTCTGTCCTCTTTTTAACCTACCTCATTATCATGTTTTCCAGAGCGACTAATGCGTGCTGTTTGTATTCACAAGTGAGTGAACGCTATTTGGTGGTACTCATGTTTCGCATACCCTTGCCGCACACAGTATTAGTCGATGTGCGCTTCTAATCACGTCGGTCATCTCGCGGTGCGAACTCTCCGCTCCCGTACCAAATTTCGAGTGCCAAAAACAAACAAATTATCATCGTCTTCGCTTGCCTTCTTCACAACAGTGTGTGAACTGGCGCACAGAGTTATTGTCAATAATATATTATATTGCTAGTTCAAACTATGAAATAGCATATGATTATTGCCTACACGTCCCCCCTGACGGTGCCCTGTGAAAGCACCAAACAATACTTCTTGCCTTGAAAGGGTCCGTCTCCTGAAGTACCCTTGCCAGATCAGCGCGACTGTGGAGGCCGATGGAATGTAATCTCTTTACCAAGTCCCACCCGGTCAGTTCCTCCGGGATCTCAACCAACTGCTGCACGGGATCTGCCTGTGGTAGTGACGCGAGGTCTAGAACCTAGCGACACCCAAGAGTGTATTGGGTGAGCATCAAAGAACCCATTAGGTCCGGCTTCATGCTCGATGTGCATCAGAAGCGAGCATGCGTGTACATTGACGCACAGCAAGTAGAACAGGATTCAAACCATGCACCAAGCTACCTCAGCTTGGCTCTATTCAAAGGCAGGATCTGACAGCACCGTTTCTGCGCAAAACATCTGGCTGCCCCTCAGGAAAATCAAGCGGCGAGCACGGTGGAGAACATTCTAATGCGATGGAGGTGCCCTCTACCAACCTCATCATTTTGGCAGGAGTAAACCAAATGGTAGAGCCGCCACATGAGCTGCTCATCGACATCGTTGAAGCTGAGAGAGTCACTTGAGTAGCCTTCCCGACCGAACTTCACATCAACCTCCTGGTCCATGTACCAGCCATTCACCACGATTCCTGACGCAAGGCGATCTGCTGGGTCCACGGGCATGTGTTGCCTGCCATCCCGATGAGATACAAACAACCAGGAGACCAGGCAATGAGTCACGACAAGTCGAAGCATCAATAAGAAACAAATGGTGGAGTGGTTCAGGGTGTGCGTATAACCAAGGGTGCAGTACGGACTTGTTTCGACCTTCATTCGCAAAAGTTGTGCCGCACTCTTGTACATGCTGGATGGACGGTATGACTCGGTGCTACCAAAACGTGTGTGTGATTGGCTACGGATTCGAACTAGCGGCGATGACCCAGCAATGCGTTTTGGCCGAGTGCGTACACCTGTCCTGTGAAGACGTCAACGTTTCATAAAACATGGTTCTTACCCGAAGACGTCAACGTATAGATTCATAAAAAAAATAGGTTCATACCCGAAGTGAGTTGCTGGCGTGAAGGGGTGGAAGCGCTCACGCCCGAGAGTATCTCGAGTATCGAATGCGCTGACGCCGTTCTTTTTCAAGCACATGGAAACCTGATCATGCGGAGCACCCCCGTACACACACCGCAGGAGCGTGGTTCGGTTAGCAAAGCTAGACGCGATACTTTGTGTAGTACCCATCTGCAGAATTCGTGTAAGCAAAGAGTGTCACCTCGGGTTCGAAATCCTAGCCTACGTCCTCCAGCACACCCACCCACTGTTATGTGTCTAAGAGCTATTTGTGGCTGGTGCTATTTGCGATAGGCATGTCCGACGTATCCGAAAAGACGATCACCCGCATCTGTGCCTTCATATTGTACTGCACGGTATGCAGACTGCCTTGCATCTCCTTTTCTCTTCCTTGGTGTGCATCTCTCTCTCTCTCTCTCATCGGTGATTCGCTACACGGCAGTCTTCTGCCTCACCAATAGATCTTCCCATGGAGTTTTCCTATGGGGCTGGCAATCGTCATCGTCGAGGTGGCTCGCCAAGAGGCCCACCGATGCCTGGTTCAACACGTATGAGGCCCGTCCGTTGTTGTACATTCGATGGTCCTCGCCAAACACACGTAGACGCCTTCCTAGGTACATGGGGTTGGTCCCGCCGTTGTTAATGCCCCCGCCTGCGCTCTTGACCTCATCCGATAGCAGGTACTGCGGGTCGACCGGATAGGGGCGGAACAAAGCGGATACTTCGTGTTCCAAAAGCAAGCACTAGAAGCTCGAGACTTGCTAGAGATTTCGGGTCTGGAGATGTTGTGAAAGTAGGAAGACTCCCCAGCCATCAGGCACCTTCTAGCTTCTACGGGTCCAAGCAGCACAGAGTTGGGGTTGGACAGCTGCAATACGCTGCCTATGACTCCCGCGAGGGACGACATTATTGTGGGATGAACCCTCGTACCCCCATGAGGAACACCAACTAGGGTAAAGGAGGGGGG